TTGTGATGATGTATTACATCCAAATAACCGCATAATTCTATGAAGATGTTTTACCGTACACATTTCCCATAAATAAGAATTGTGTAAATATGCTTCAACAATCAACTCTTGTGTTCCTTTCATGACTACCGGAAGAATTTGCTTGAAATCTTCACCTAAAATGCATAATTTCCCCCAAATGGTAATACATTAGAGTAATTTTCTATCCATTTCAAAAGATCCTTAAAAGTCCCACTAACTGCTTCAACAACATATTGATGAATCATTGGAGTTTCATCCCATATAATGATAGATGTCTCTCGGATTAATTGTTCTAAATTAAAATTGAAATTTATCGGACATGTTGATTTCTCATGTAGATTAATAGGAATTTAAAACGGGAGTGTGTTGTTCTACCACCGGGAAGGAGTAACGAAGCAATTCCAGAGGACGCCACTGCTAACACAATTTTTTTGTCGGATCAAAATTTTGCAATTAATGTTCTTCACAACTATATTTTTCTAGTGTCCCCACTCTCATTGACGAAGAAAAATCCTTCATTTTTTTCGTGGTAAGACTGTAGAATAGTATTGTAATACGCAATTGTTCATTGTTCAATCCATGAAAATACTCTTCAAACAATCTTTTCTCTTCAAAATGATCAAAATTGAGACTTCTGAGATCACTTGTTTGGAAAAAAAATACCAGATGTAGTACTAGAAGGTGTGGGTATAGGTGGAAAATTTGATAATGATTTTCCACTCTTGTTCAATATGCGCTCAATTTCGTGTAAACATAATTCATTTAAATATTCTTCGCTGATGTCATGAGATTATGGTGCATGATATTATAACGTAGGTCATCAATCATAGGACTTCAGTGTGTCTCTTATAATTTCACAAGATCGGTTAAATTTGAGAATAGAAGCATAGTATAAAACATATTGTGTAAGTTCAATGGAGATGACCACGTCGAAGCCTCAGACATTGCGAAATTCCATTCGTTATCATCATCCAAAAATCCATGCGCCGCATAAGCCTCTTTAAATGTTTGAAAGAAAATTCAACATAAGTCGTATGTCGTACCTCGACATATTTTTTATTTGCTTCAAACTATTTGGTTAACATTGTGTGATATGCCCTATCTTGATTCACAAAATTAACCAAGTTATCGTCATTGTGGAATAACACCAACTGTTGGTTTGACAGATGATATTGCAGACGCTCAACAGTTCGATTATGACCTTGCAAACCAAATTCATAAATCCTCCAACAAGCCTCAATAGATGAAACATAACGAAAATCCAATTATCATTTCACCTCATCTACTAGTCTGTATGTTCATATATTGGCCTGAGCACTATCGGTATTATTTTCAATGACAATTGTTACCTTCTCACTTCCTTTGCACATGTATTTGTACATGTAGTTCATTAAATTTGAAGATGCACACTTCTCAATATTTATGTGACAATCGAACAAAACCAGAAGATCACGATTGTAAGGAACCACCTATCGATTATCCAATTCAACTCCATTTACAATCACTGTATTTCAGAGGTTATTTATCCATTTTTATGACACAAATCCATCTTTGTCAATGGTAGTTTCACTTGAAAACTTCTTTGGATAACGTTTGAACAAACTCCATTCACCATGCAAGAAACATTAGGATTGTATGCTCCACATGGCTCATGCATCATGCATTGTGTGACCGTCTGATAAACAAGAAAATCTTTACTCTTATCAGGAATTTCAACAGATATGAATGAATTAATTCAATCAATTGAATTGGGCTTATATCCCTCAGCCAAAGTAAGAGATATATGCGAATGAGGCAATCCTCTTTATAAAATTCTATGACATGAACATCTGTCATAGATGAAATATTTTAGTAATTGTATGTAAAAATTTTTGGAATATTTTAATATAGAAAAAATAATAATATTCATAATAAAATATGTTACCATACCTGCAATTACATCACCGAAAGCTTTTCATTTTTTCAGATGTTTCATGAGGAGTCTATGTTTCATTCTAAAGATCCTTGCAGCAATATCTGGCCTATCTTCAATGCGTTAATTAGGGATGTGTAATAAGTCACGTGGTATTTCAGTCCAATTTGGATTACATGTGAATGTAATAAAAAAAAAGTCTGGTGGTCCAATACTCCTACATATTGCCATGACATCTTGATAGTGTTGCATCATATTACGAGGTATTTGGTAAAAGAAAATGGTAGAATTATTCTTCTACCAACAAATGTAGCATCTGTATCTCCAAGTACTACTGTATCTTCTAAACCTTGGTACAGGTCTGCACGCATTTCAGCTTGATGTGTTTTTATATAATTTAGTCTTTGTTGTCCCATTGATGCATAGCAATCAACTAAAAGTTGATTAAACAAACGTCCCCCTTGCAACATTTTTGTTCCTTCAGATGTTCTATGTTTAATTCTGAAGGCCCAAAACTCTCTCATTGATACATGTTCTCTTCTTAATTGCTGAGCTGATTCATTATAGGGAATATTGGAGTTCTATCCATTTGTACCATAAGGAAATAATAATGGATACTACAACAGAGTATAAGATGGATGAATCTCATTGATTATCTTCAAAGTTCCATCATTTTTGCAGAAAATTACATCATCACGATACTGTGGAGCATTAGAATTTTTTCACACAATCAAAGCTGCAACTTTGTCCACAGTTGGTTTAATATAAGTCTTATTACATCTGAATGTAAAATCCTTATATGTAGATCAGCTCGTATATCTCTTGCAACATATCTTTTGCAGCACGGAGAATCCTAACATAAGGATTCACCTCATCTAACACTCTTTGTATACCCGTAACAGATGACTTCAGAAGTTGTGAATTCATTTTTATCAAGACACTTAATCTCTGATGTACTTCATTTTGTGCATAAAAAATATATAGTTGGAGAAATTTATGATTTTCTCCCGGTGAAGAAAGCAAAGATCCTATTCTATGATAATTTTCTTCAGAAATTCTAAAGCACGGTCAACCTCTTCCTTCGAGGAAAAACATGTCAACTTTTCCACCCATTGATGTGAAAGAAAATATAGAATTCAAAGATCGTGTATTTTTCCTAAAGTTGAAATCATTCAGTAATGAAGCTATATATGGCGGGGAATATGGTAATAAAGGTAGGGAGACCTTTCCAGATTGACAACAAAGCCCGAACTTAGGAGACAAATTCAAACTACAAACATTTTTTTCTTCTAACCACATGCGTGCTTTACAGTACTGACATATTATGTTTCTTTCCCTCAAAACCAACCTTGTTGTTATTCCATTTTCAATATTTTCTCTTACAAAAGTAATATTTTCATTTACGAAATTTATAATAATCTATTATTTTCTTTAAATTGAGAATTAAATTAAGAAAAAAACTAACATAAATTATCATATTGGTTGTTTAATCCAGTATGAATAGAATGAAATTTAAATTAATATAAATATTAGTTATATTTAGGCAAATGTAAAAACTAAATGAAGAATATATATATATATATATAATATTTCGTGGTGCAACAATGGAAAGTTTACGAACAATGACATTAATTTAATAATTCATACCTATTTGATAATTATTTTGTTCTACTTGATCATTCTCATTTGTATCTTCATCACTGACATTAATATTTATCTGAAAACTTATACATATTTTTTTTAAAAAAAAATTAAATTTAAATTTCAAAACATATTTAACTGAATATAAATTATAATTTACAATATTAATACAAAAATTACATACCCCTAAACAGTTGATCATGAACAATGTCCTCATTTACTGCTATAGAATTTTGTTATCCGTGAACTACATTAGCCAAAAATAATAATACAATAAAGTAATATGAAATAATGCAATTACAATAATAATAGAAATTGATCATATATATTTTTATATTATATCTATATATATATATATCAAATATACGGACGTGTGCATAGTAATCAATGAATACAATAATACAATAAAGTTAATTATTTAATATTACTTTGGTCAGTAGTGATATAATGATTCATCTCATGTTGATCGATCACCGAAATAGAACATGTTATAACTTCATTATCTTAGAAATATTAAAAATTAATAATAATAAGATCATGTTAATAATATTGATGATATAATATAATCTTAGAGATTGAAAATATATAGCAACGGGTCAAATTATGTTTATAAAATTAAATAAATTAAGATAATTTTATTGTAACAATAGGGGGAAAAATAGTAAAATAGAGTCATATTAAGAATTATTTTAATAATAATATGAAAAATACATTAATATTTAAAATAATATACTCATTGATCAAATTATATTTAAAACTTAAATGAATTGAAGTAATTTTATTCAAACAATAGTAACAAAATAGTAGCATGCTTGTTTATTACATACATATATACCGTTGATCAAATAAATAAAAGCAAAAAGTAAAAATAGTAGCATGCTTGTTTACAATAGCATTGATCATAACCAACAATAACAATAAATTAATAAAAAAAATAATATTTTAAAGTAATATTGCTAAATATTACTCTCTCCGACCCACCACAATTGACACTATTTCCATTTTTGTCTGTCCCGTAACAATTGACACATTTATATTTTTGGAAAAAATTTATTAAACCAAAACATATTTAACAAATATAAATCAACTTAATTAACTATATAACATACAACACCATGAATGACGTAGGGACCCACTCAAAACTCCTTTATTTCTACCTCTCTCGTAAAAAAAATAAATATTTTTATCTATATTTAAAACTACACACCTTTTATAAAATTGATTTATGTTAGTTATAAATAAACAAAATTTATTTTTATTTACTTGTATTATAGAAGATTTTATTCTCTACAAAATGATATTCATATTGCATATATTTTTTAATTGCTATATAATTTTAAAAATATTTAAACATATATTTTAATTTTTTTAATCATATATATTAAATTTACTTTAAAACTATAAATATTATTTGTTGAGATATTTTAGATATTCAGATTTAGTAGATTTATATTTAGATTTGATCTTATTCATAGATTAGATTACTTAGATTTGAGTCTATCGAGTCTATTTTGTATGGCCTATATATAGGCTCCTTATTTTGACGATAATAAGATAATCTCATTATTTTCCCCCAAAATTTCTAACATGGTATCAGAGCATGATTTTCCAAAACCAAAACCCTAGTCGTTGCCGCCGTTGTTCGCCGTCCATCATCCGCCCTTCTCCGGTGGTCGTTTTTTCTTTTTCGGTCGCCGCCTCCTGCTTTGTTCCCTACGTCGTGGTGTGGTTGGTTTTGTCATCGGAGTTGATCTCATTTTGCGACTGATACCTATTGGATTATTCGATCTACTTTTTTTTTTATTTGGGCTTTGATTTCGTGATTCACATATTTTTATACGTTTTTTTTGTTATGGAGCGTATGGACGTTCATTTACCTATTACTACTATCTTGTCCGGCGATAATTATGATCTTTGGATGCAGTCTATGAAAAGTTTCTTGATTGGTAGGAAGTTATGGCGAATTGTCACTGGCGATATTCGACTACTTGTCTCTCCATCTCCTTTTGTGCATGTTGATCCCACATCTCGGGGGCATTAAAATTATATTGCCAAATTGGAAGATTGGGATAGTAAGAATCATCAGATTCTTACTTGGTTGCGCAATACTTATGTACCTGCGATTCAGGTACAATTGACTCCTTTTGATACTGCAAAGGAGGCATGGAATTTCCTTGCTGCTCGTTTTCAGACCACAGGTCTTGCTCATTATTATCAACTTTGGACGACGATGAGCTCCGCCCGACAGCAACCTGGTCAGTCTGTTAATGAATTTCTTGCTCAGGTTCAGCCTATTCGTTATCGTCTCCGGCAGTCACAAATTGGCCAGGACCATCTTGACCTTATTCAGATCTTGATGGCCCTTCGACCTGAATATGAGGCTGTTTGTGCCTCACTCCTACATCGACATCCTTGCCTACTCTTGATGCTGCCATTCAGGAGATTACTTTTGAGGAGACCCGTCTCCAATTGGCTAAGACACCAAGTTCTGATTCTGCTTTAGCTGTGTCTCGCCAGTCCTGATCTGCTCGTACTGAATGTCGAGTTTGCAAATCTCTTGATCACACTTGGTTTACCTGTCCGAAGATTGAGTGTCACTCATGTCTTCTGCGTGGGCATATTGCTCCGGTCTGTCCCACAAGATCTCAACGTTCAGGTAGTTCTGCTCTTAGAGATTCCTGTAGCTTTGCTCCCAAATCTCGGGAGCCTAGTGGGTCTTCTTCGACTGTACGATTACGGTTGCTACTACTGATGAGACTCAGCATGCGCCTTACAATCCTCACGACATAGAAGCCATCATCAAACAGGTTATGGAAACCAATTCTGCTATGTCTACCACTCCAGGTACATATATTTGGTATTTTGATTATGGTTGTTGTAACCATATGACCTCTAACCCTCGGAACTTGACTTATATGTCCCTTGTCTCCCATTTACCACCTATACATACTGCCAATGGTACTACCATGCATATTACCCACACCGGTCTTGCGTCCTCCCCTTCCTTATATCTTCCTGATACATATTGCATCCCCGACTTAGCCTTAAATCTTATCTCTATTGGTCAATTAGTTGAACAAGGTCTTACCGTTACATTCTCTTCTGGTGGTGTGCAGGTTCAGGATTCTCAAACGGGTCAGCTTCTCGGGACGGGACGCAAAACGGGTCGGTTATTTGAGCTTGAGTCTCTTCGTACCTCCTGCACATATCCCTGCTCTGCAGCTCTTACCTCTGATTCATTTAGTCTTCATTGGCATATTCGCCTAGCTCATGCGTCTTCCAGTAAGCTCCAGTCACTTCATACTAAAGGTCTTTTAAGTCCAGGTCGTTTTGAGTCTTTTAAGTGTGTCGATTGTCAACTTGGCAAACAATCTGCTCTTAGTTTTTCAGAAAGTTAATCTATTGCTACTGAATCTTTTTCTTTAGTCCATTCTGACATTTGGGATCCTTCTCATGTTGCTTCCGTCAGTGGTTTTCAGTATTATGTTATATTTATTGATGATTTTTCACGATTTACTTGGATTTATTTTTTGAAAAATCATTCTGAATTACCTTCTATATATGCTCATTTTGCTTAGATAATTCACACTCAATTCTCCCATCCTATTAAAGTCCTTCGTACTGATAATGCTTGTGAGTACAATACATCATCATTTTTGCAATTTTTTATCTAGTCAGGGTACCTAACGAATTTAGTGAGAGAGAGAGGGAGAGGGAGAGAAATAGACCTAACCTCAAGCACAGGACTCTTTTGTGGTATATTACAAGCAAATATAACGTTGAAACCAGTCTTGAGAACTGAAATACAAGCCATTTCATTCATCAGAGGTAAATGGATGGCTATCCAATCGTGTAGGACCAAATTTACTTATGAAAAACAAACCTGCTCGTCGTGCGATACCAGATCCTACATTATCAGAAGCCCCACCAATTAAGAAGCTATGCCAACACCATCATTCTGTGCAAGATGACAATTCTCGTAATTTATAACAACAATGAGAAGTGACTCCTGATGGATACCCCAAATATTTAATCTTCCAAGGCATGTCAGAAAGTAGTCATCATTTGGAGTTGAGAATGGAATGATATTGGAATTTTACATAAAGAACAAACCAAACCATGAAAAACAATCTTCAACTTACGGCTCGTGTAGGTGCAGCTGCATATATATGTCCAAGCTTTAAGTTGCAACCAACCCATGCATAAATCTACATTGAGAAAATGAATATTTAACTTGTGACATGGTAAATGGACCCTCGTAAATATTCCATTTTAATTCATAAACAGAAAATGATCGAAACTTTTATGTACATTATAGGAACAAGTGAGCTTGTTAGACACCTGAGGCCTTTAGATCCCAAAATAAATCACATACGCATTGCACTTGGGGAAGACAAAAAAAAAACAACGAATACTAACACCAAAGAAAAGCATACTACATATTAATGCATTTCAAAATTTCATAACAGAACAAATGACACCCACTCAACAAATTATAACAAAAAAGAAAAGAAACAGAATGAACAAAATAATTTAGCACGACCAAAATTCATATAGAAACCATCAATACTAAACATGGAATATTAGTCAAAAAAGAAACCCAAGAAAAAAACTTCCACACACCTGTTTGTGAAGTCGAATAATATGAAAATGAAGCGTAACATCATCATATACATGGGAAAAATTTGTAATTTGGAATCCGCAACTGTCTTCTTCAGTCTTTTCTCCAGTACATAGTTCCATCACTCAATACTATTAAAAAGTATAATGAGATCTTTAAAACCACTAATTACTTAAATAAAATATTCATCTATCAACCACATACCTTGATTTGTGTATGTAGCAAGAATCCCATCAGTATCTCTTAAAAGTTTCCTAAGCAAGTGAACCATCAGACCCATATTAATACTTAAAAATAATGGCAGTGAAATGTTGCAGCAATTTATATTCGCTAAATTATATGGAACATTCACATTTTGATTTAGTAACCAGAGCCCTATACTGAACAAAGTATATTTTAAGTTGAATTGGAAAAAACTCAGGGCAAACATTCAAAACTCAAATGTGCAATTAAGAACCTGATACAATGCAAACTACACTACAGTGGTGTACGTAAAAAATATACCTCTACTAAATCCAAAGCGCTAGACTCAACAGGACTTGTGTGACTAATAGGATTCGCAATAATCAGATGCCACTTCCTTTAGGCATGTACTTTGATGAAGAAAAAGTAGTCACTGATGGCAAACCTAGTGTTTACCCAAATTGAATTATCAGAACAGTAACAATACTATAAGATTACAAGCTTGTACACTTATATGGCTTATATCAAATATCCATATATTATGGAGAGGACAGAAACATGTGTATCCCAAATTATATTAACATTTCCATCATGCTATTTCACTGCTCGGAATGCGTAATGATGCGACTATTCGTGAAGCACAGATGTTACTAATAAAACAATCTCAATTGAACATGAACTACGCATATCACTAATTTAGAAAGACCAACACTTTTTAGATATTTATCGAAACTTCATCGGGTTTGACGCACAAACACATGAATTCATTCAAAGATATTACAACTTAAACCCTAAAATTCCATCAGAGCATCACCATTCTCCCAAACCAACGGAAAATCGAATGCTAAAACCAGAGCACAACCACACACACACAAGGACAGTCACAGGACTAAACAAACAACCGATTTCCAAAAAGATAGATAGGAAACCAAGCGAGACAAACCGTCAGTAGGAATTCGTCCTCTTCCTTTTCTTCTGCCGGCTTCGTTTCCCACAGCGCAGATTACCATTCGCCATCGATGATTTCTTCTTCTTCTTCTTCTTCTTATTGGCTTCTCAATAGATCGCCGGAGTAATTTATTTTATAATACTACTACTACTTACGAATCCGACCCGAATAGAGTGGTCTTCGTCGGATCGGGTATAAAAGAAAAGGTCCTACCTGAATAAATGAAATGATCCTTGGTAACAGCCTGAGCCTGAGATCGACGAATTCGAAGGGGGGCGGACCAACCAGGGCAGGCAGGAGCGAGGGCCGGAGCAATGAGCACTGACTCATTTGTTTACATAGTTTCAAAAACCTATTATTCTATTAATGAGGATTTTTTGAATAATGAATGAATGCATGAAACATTTCATGAGATGAGCTCCTCTTCTAAAACGTGATGATGGTTGACAGCCAGAGCCACACAGCCACAGCCACAGGCATTGTTTTTTGTTTCACATCATGCAGTCAGTCCAGTCCAGTCCAGTCCATATGAACTGAACTGAACTGAAGACGACTGACTTCCTTTGATGCTTTGTCTCATGACTGACTGACTTGTGCACTATTTGCCAGATTTGAGATTTCAATCCAGCAGCAGCAAAACACTAAAACAGATGATAAATGCTAGGACGGATCAACTCTCTCAAGGAAGCAGAGTGAGGATGGATGGATCAAAAAACACCCTCTACCATTGAAGAATTGCAGTCCTTAATCTCCATTGCTTCGGTTCATTCAAAAGCTTCACGGCTTGACCAGAGAAAATACCAATGTCTTTTTCTTTTCTAGAACATTGGTTTCGAGAAATCAAACTGCATCGCTGCTGAGTATCTGAAACAAATGTTACCGTCAAACATCACAGATCCAGCCTCCCACAGATGAAACTACAAGAAGCAAAAATGGCATAACTTACACTCAACCTTGGGCATATTTCCTGCAAAAACCAATTCAATGGTGTTAATTTCCTGCCAATTACTCCAAAGTCGAAAAACACTTTTTCTCACAACTTAAGAAGCAAAAATGTTTCAGACTCCTGGTAAAGCAAAATAAAGACAACCAAATACAAGAGAAATTTTCATTTTCAGGCTTCTATTCACACCAGGATCACTTGCATTAAGTACAAAATCAGATCAAAACCAGCAGTGCTTTGGGTTTAAAAGGATTCAAAGAAATTATTGTTTAAGGGAAATTACATATGGGTGGAAAGAAACAACAAATTAAGTTGAATAATTTTAAATGGAATCTTACTCTTATCTGAGCAAGATACACTTGTAATTTAATACTGATAAATCTCGCAAAGGACTCAAACCTACCAAAATCGTAATTTTGCCAGGGAAGAGCATTATCATGTCCATACTAGAATGGCTCCGCAACAAACAAATTATTCTGCAGAGCAAATGCATTGTTTCAGTGGGAGGCAAATTGGTAAATAACTGGAAAACATGAAGTCGGAGAAATTATACAAAGAACCATCAATTAGGTCAAGTGAATAATCATTCTTAACCCCAAAACTTCTTATGTGGAAGATTTAAATGTAATATCTTTTTCACCTTTTTCTGTTGTGAAGCTTGCAGAGTCAAGTGCAAATCCTTATTATATATAAAGACTATACGTCCATAGAGTAGCTATTTGCTGCAGCAACCAATTGCAGATATTGCACAGCCTTCTTTCCAAGTCCAGGAAATAATGCAAGTAACTGCAAACTCTTGGAAAGATGCGCGATGGCAACTGACAAGAAAATGCTATCATCTGCAACTAAACACACCGGAGATTGTCTCTGATGCAACTGAAAAATGAAAATAAGAGTATTCAAGTCAAGCCAAGCATAGAAGGGACAAGAGGTTAGTATACCACTAGATTGGTTACATAGATCACAGACAAATACCATAGGCAGAAAACAAACAAGGAATGTATGGCAACAAAGCAACACAGTATCTAAGTAAGATACCATTAACTTGAAGAGATACTTGTACAGCTGTATTTAGATCAAACAATTATGAGATCAAAAGTTGATTATCCTCTCCACCCAAAGAGAATAAGTAAATAAATAAATGGTAACAGTGTCAAGCAAATTATTGAGGCTGAACTAAATTTCTTCAGTTTATTTCTTATTGGACAGTAGAGTCCATAAAAGTGGAACAGGTGCAATAGTTCTTCATATCCATGAAGCATCCCAGCCGTGGCCAATATAGTAGCATTCAATATAAACGGTAAAGGTAAAAAACTGGCAGAAAACAGAAAAAAACTATAGCTGTTAAGCAAGAAATCACTAAAATTCTATGCAAAACAACCTTCAACATGCATCAAACATTATGCACAGTCTCATTTTTATATTTTTCCTCAAGGTGAGCATGGGGTTAGCTTTAATCTTTAAATGGCATCTACTGTTAAGGGTAAGGTAGTCTTACAGCACTCTTAATGGCGGCACACATGATGCATCTCCAGGCACTATCGCCATATAAAATAGTGATGTGGAACCTCTTTCTCGTCTCCTGAAGCATTCAAATTATACAAGATGCTTGTTTCAGTATGAGCAGCACGTAATTGAACCTCCTCATCTTTGACTGCATGCAAGTCATCTGATCTTGGGGAGAACCAAACACTTTGTTTCCAATGGTCGCACCAATTTTGAGTACCTAGATAATAAGCATGGTGCACAATAGCAGATTGCTAGCAAATTGATTATACTGCTGAAAAACTCACGTAAACAAAACTGCAATAAATCATCTCTCCTCCTTGGCAGACCAAGTATTAGAATAAACACAATGATGTTTCCATATATCACCACAAGTTCATAGAAAATTGCTTAATTGCAATACGTCATCAACAGCTTAATTGATTATATATCTCCTAAAATTATATACAAAGGCTGATGAGTGGCAGTATAATATCACACATACACAATTGCTTCCACATTGGGTGAAGATGAATGGCATATGGATGGTGTTGAAGATTGCCCTTCATTTACTTAGGACTCTCTTACCTTTCGCATCACTGCAGTGTATCCAATTTGGAGCAGTCAAATATAATACAGTGCCTTGACTGTCTAGTTGAAGGAAGCAACCACCTGAATGAGAATAAATAAATCCACATGTTAACCTGATAATACATGCTCATTGATGATGAAAAGGAGAAGGTTGATAATACATCAAAATAAAATGACCTATGCGCCAAATCAAGTACCATGAGATGATAGCATGAACAATACCCTCATTTGTGGCTTCTATGTGCAGCTCAGTTTCACGAAAACTGTCTGGTCTTCTCCAAAAATCAAATTAAAAAACTTCAAAGGGTTCCGAAAGCTAGATGCAAGTAACAGATTGAGTAACAATGTATATTAACAGGAAAAGAAAGAAAGAAAGAAAAAATGCATAGGAAGAAGGAATATTTACTCATTACCAGTTTAATTTTTCCTTTAATTGCATCACAATGAAATGCATACTGCTTCTGTTTGATACCTATAAACTCATCCATCCCACTCGGAACAAGATGAATTCCATCTAATGCTTCTGCTTCTCTGTTTACCAAATTATGCATCCTCCTTAAATGTGTGCGCACTCGACAAGCTGCAAAGAATTGGGGAAATAAAAATTAATTTTATAAAATAGCATATGTAATTATATGCATTGATTGATTGGCATAATAGACAGTTATAGGGATTTTCATCATTATATTGGGTGTGTTCATCCAACCAATTTTTACCTACACGAGTCCCAATAAATATTATTAAAAAATATAATATATACACATAACTATACACAATATGTACTATATATCCACTCACATAAAATCAACAAAACAAGCACAGCAATTATATATTATATAGTCAAATGTGGTATCGAACCTTATCAAGTGTAACCTATTCGACTCATATTATTTGAGCACCTTTTTGAGTTCAACATATTATAATTAACAAACCAAGCTCAAGTGGCGCTTGAACTTTAGCGAGCTAAGCTTTTAAGCAACTTGGCTCATATGACAATTAACAACTCTCTGTGCTATTTACAATTTATCACTTCAACTAAAACAAACATAAGTAGTATCAAATAAATTTGATCGATTGAATAATATATAATGTTGAACTAATTTGTATTACCATTAAAAGCATATTTGTTCAGTCAAAAATCAAGATTTGTTGCACTAATACACATATAACCACTGTTTTATATTTGAATGTGTTAATGTTCAACCAACATACATGTATGATCATTTACTTATAGATATTATATTAAATTAATGAGAGGAAAACATACAAAAAATAAAAAACACACTCTGATTTTTCCGGATATTAAACAAGTACAACCATAGCAATGATCCGATTATTGCAATCGCAAACTGTGGTTGCAAGTTGCAACCGTGATAAAATTATCATGTAAAACTAATTTGGAGGCATACCTGTTCGAATAGGTCTCTCAACTACATATCTTGAGGCAGCCCAACAATGATAATGCTATTACAAAAAAAAAAAATTAAAAGATCATAACAAAATTGAACAATATAAAATAGGGTAAACTGTTCTTTTAGTCCCGTAACTGGACCCCCTTATCATTTCAGTCCCGTAAGTGGAGCCTGTCGCAAACTAGTCCCATAAGTGAAAAATTTTCGCTGTTTTAGTCCTCCGGCGCCGGAGACGCCCGCGTGGCTCGCCGGAGATGACGTGTCCGTCAGGTCAGCGACACCTGGCGGTGACCTGGCGGACACGTGGATTTTTTTATTTATTTTTATTTTTTTAAATTTTTTATAAAACTTATTTTTAATTCATTTTTAATTTTATTTGTATATTTTTTATTTTTTAATTTGATTTAATTTAAAAAAAAAAAAAATTGAAAAAAAAATAAATCCACGTGTCTGCCAGGTGTCGCTGACCTGGCGGGACACCTGGCGAACACGTCACCTCCGGCGAGCCACGTGAGCGTCTCCGGCGCCGGCAAAAATTTTTCACTTATGGGACTAGTTTGCGACAGACTCCACTTACGGGACTAAAATGATAAGGGGGTCCAGTTACGGGACTAAAAAAACAGTTTACCTTATAAAATAAAGATTACTAGTACTATACCGGAATAAGAATTCCGATAAAAACAAGCTCTTCTACCAAATTGATGACACAACCCAAGTAACTTAACTATACTAGTCGAAACTTTAACTAAATTCGAATGAAAACTAAGTAAATAAAGAAAAATATTACCGGTGTCTGATTCGTCAATCGATCAGATGTGAACCCAAGCGTTGCCTAGACCAAACACCTTTAAACCAATGGAGACTCGAATGATTTGACTAGAAATTCCGGTCAGTTTCGAAAGCCATGAACCCAAAGAATCAACCCAATGACCCAATTTGAGAATGATACGCAAGGAAAAATCATAACTAACACACTAATTTCAATATAGTGGAATAAAAAAAAGAAGACTTTAATTGATATAAATTTCAAAGCTTGGCAAAAAGTTCTACTCGACAATAAGTACACATTATTTAAACCCCACTAATTTAAAAAATAAAAATAAGGCTTAACAAATTAAATAACTAAAGAAAGGTCCAACTATTAGATTAAAAGGCCACCTTATTAAATAATGTAGAACACCTCCGATCCCACATGAGATAATGATGTGAGTAGCAACTCCGATGGGCATTACAAATTGTGGTCTACAACGGAATGAAGTGCATGGATCATGGATGCACTCCAATATTGACAACGCTCTTTCCATTGGCCTTCATGCTTCCACTTTATGCATGTTCTCCTCTTCCAAGTGTAGAACTAATGCCATAATATTAGTTTGAAACTTCTTGGCACAGCTTCGTGTAATCGAACTAGGTGGAAGTACTGGTTCATCATCGCTTTTAACGACTTCATCATATCTTGTGCTCGAGAAATCCCCTCAGTTTCTCAGGCAACTTGTGGTGGCATTTAGCTAGTTGTCTTAGATGAGATCATAGATATGTCCCACGATACGATTATACGATCTGCTCTGCCTGTCAATCCAGACGTCGTGCTTTTTCTCATTATTATTTATATGCTGGACATACTCGCTTTGCGCCTTCAATGCATATGCTGAAAGATGTACTATTATTAGCATGCAAAAACCCAATCTATAGATAACTCTATGGAAATTGTGCATCTTCTTACAAGCACAAAGCACAATCTGAGGTGCAATGCAATCAGATCAGCCTTGATGAAACTCAACCATCAAACCTCCACTTCAAAGTTCGGAGCTAGTTTTCATGGATTGATGTGTTTCAGTATTTGCTTTGACCTCTTCCTGCAATAAAAGAGAAACAAACGATCAGTATCGCCTGAGGCTGAGGATAAAGGACAAACCCACTCAGATGCATAATACATCTAAAGATTTCAGTTTTACCTTTTGGTTGATTTACTGATGCCAAATACCCCCTTCATTAAAGAATTTACGTCGACTCCACGTTCCTTCATGATTTTATCATGATATATCTTGCTACCTATCTCTTTGATAGACTCTTCCACTTCATCTAGTGTTTGGTCTATGTTCAGCTGCAGTTGACCCTTCCTGATAACAGTTACACTGAACCCATTTGCTTTGGCTTCCCGGAAAGCATCCTGCAAAAATCAAGCGTGACATATATAGATTCTCATTGTTTCTACCAAGAACAATTTGGAAGGAAGGTAGTATGTATCATTGGGATTTAGCAACAAACAAAGTAAAACAACAGTGTCGAAGAGGAGAGCCGGCATTAATAATTTAACTCAGCCACTTGCTGACAACCAACATTCATAAGGTGAGTTATAAAGCATATGTTTACTTGGTGATTCTTTCGGTTAAAAATAGGTTTATTTCCTCTTACAAAATATCAGATCCAACTCACTATTTAAACCTAAACCAAACCCAAAACCCAAACATAATCACCAAGTAATTCAACCCAAATGGTATCGTATCCTCTCATTTTGGCAACTGTGGCGGTATAAATTCTGTGGAAAAGCTGGAAAGATCCAAATTTTATCCATGCTAATTACAATTGAATTTCTATGGATAAAATTATTTACCTGCATTCAAGAATACAATATAATCTTTTTAACTACTTAAGACATAACACAAATGCACGGATTACCTTGGGTGGCCTAGCAACAACAAATGCATTGCCATTTCCCTGCACTTCCATTTGAGCTTGTATAATGTAGCAAAAACTCTTGCAGTCAGAAGCATCCTCAAAAGCAATAACATGGTATTGCTTGGGTTCCAATTCCAGGTCCTCGGCCATCTCCAATGAATATAAGCCCACCCTTCGCTCCCCATTGTCCACAGTGTACAATTCTAAGCACTGAAAAAGCAGAGTGACAATAATATAGATTAGATGGCAACTATTTGAGTCATAGAATTGCAGCCAAGGTTCATCTCTGGAGCGAATAAAAATGATAACAATATCAGATGTGTTAAGGCAACAGTTGCAAATTTGCAATTACACGGATATAAGATGAAAAAGGAATACGTCGTGTACCAGTACAAAAGGAAGATCTAGCCACCATAGGTAATCTTCTTCCTTTTCTTCTGCATACTCTCGGTACTTGCTCACCACAGCTTGTGGTCCAAACAGTTCCATTTCTCTTTTTACCTTGTCGAGTTTTTGTTTGATAAACTTTTGTCCCTTTTCAGGAAGTTTGTCCATCAGCTCAGCAGCTTCCTTTATTTCTTTCTCAGTGATCCATCTGTCCAAATCTTTTCCCATATCCCTCATAACAGCTTTAACTTCTGGGTCTTCCTCTGCGTTATAAGACTCCAGGAATCCTTGAGACCATTTCTTGGTGTGCTGCCAAAACTCCTTTCCAGATCTTTTTCCCTTCTTAACTGAACCATCACTTCCTTGTATAACAGTCTTCGAAGATGCTAATATATCTTTCTGGTGTTCAGTCCCAGAAACTTCCTGAAGGTTATCCTGGGAAGAAGGGTCTTCTGAATTACGAATGGCAGATTTTTCAGAATTCTTTGAGATAGATGAATTTTTAAGGCTCTCAGCAGCAAGGACCTTCCTTTGTTGCATAAAGTTTTCCAGAAACTCGGGACTCTTCTCTACAGGTGGGTCTTTCCACCGTGGAATGATTTTCTCTGGGGGATCATACACACTAATTCCATCTGTAGTAATGGCAGACACATTATAAGCATATTCTCAACACTTCACAATGGAAGGGTCCTTATTCAAATTATAAAAGAAAGGGCTTGAATAAATCCTCCGTAAAGATCATGCTTGCTCGTCAAAGGAAAACATCATAAGTTAAAACACTACGCAAAAAAGCACTTAGTGGGTTGCTTTAGCATAAGAAAATAATGTACATGACAAATATTTTACCTGCTCCATAATCAAGGTTTTCAATGTTCGAGTGTAAATATTCATGTAGTTTCAACATCTTCTCATTTACTTTATCAACCTTCTGCTCAAGCCCACACAGAAACATGGATTTATCCTCATCTTCCATGTCATGAAATGGATCTCTTCCCGATAACTCGTTTTCTCTTACTTTGAATACAATCTCCCTAAGCCTTTCATCTTTCATCCATCCAAGCTCCTCTTCAGAAAACTCAGACTGAAGTTGAGCTAACTCAATTTTTGAATCCAATTCTTGAGCTGCTTTCTCCCGTGCAACCAGGTAATTTTCTCTAAAGCCAATTCCAATCTTTTCCAAAATGGGCTCAAGTTCATTAAAGTTATTTTCAATCCAATTTTCCTTTTTTACGGGTTTTGATAACTCTGCAGTTGTGTTCATTCCATCATTAACACTGGTAATTCCAGACACCTGATGAGGAGCAAATGATTCATTTTTTTCAGAGCCATCAGAATTCTGCTTCTCGAGTTTATTAGATACTTCTCTAGAATTTAGGTCTTCACAATCAACTTTAGCTGATGTAGAAGCTGCCCCGTCAACAACAGAAGATTTTTGTTTTATGCAATTATTGTTTTGGCTTGTTTTAGTTTCATCTTCCTGATCCCCAGACATCTTCAGCATAGAAATTCCAGCTTCATTCTTATTCATACTAACTTCATGGATTGCAGGGACTCTGGATTTTTCCAAATCACAAGGGTTAACCACATTAACTTTTGCTGTTTCAGTAATGACACTATGATCATCGGAAAGATGCAAAAACCCATGCATGCAGCCCAAACGGGAAGTGTCATCAGCTAAATTTAGTGTCTTGTCTGCATGACCAGATTCTACAATTGCCCTTGCCATGGTAGAAGCAGTTTCTGCTGCATCATCTTTCTTAACCTTATGTTTTTTATTAGCCTCCACATTATTATTCTTTCTTAAGAGGTATTTCCTGGCTTCCTTAGCCGATGTTATTATCTTTAACTTCTTCGGGTGAGAAATTTCATTCATGTCTGATTGACTGCCTGGGGAATCCAAGTCTAACTTTGCCTCATCTAAATCGGAGGATTTGTTGCATACTTGAGGTCTTGTGCTTTCGGATCCACAAGGATTTGTAACTTCTACACCATGACTATCTTCATAAACCGCCTCACTTTCCTTGGTTGAACATTCATCAGCGGACTTCCCAATGCTACGATTCTGAACATTATGTTTATTTTCTTGACTTTCACCGTAGTCAGGTAAATCTTCCAAATCTTGATATTTCTCTTCCTCCCCATTATCCCCAGCAGTGTTTCCACTCTCAGTTTCTCGAGCGTGCCTTGCCATTGCCCTGATTTCTTCAAGTTTTGCTTCAAATTCCTTCTGTTCGTGTGTGGATTCCTCCGCCAATTTCAATTTGCTGTTAGATTTCTTCACCTCAATAATGCTATTCATAAGTGCTTCCTTATCAAGATTAGGCCTTGCAAGAGACAAGGTTTCATGCTCCTTCGGGGCTTTTACAACTTCCACACTATCCATAACCAACTTTTCTTTCTGTTCTCTAGCTTTTATTTTCCTTCGCAGCATTTCCTTCTCCAACCTTGTGTACTTTCTATCATCCTTCTTCGTAGTTAAACGTTTTCCAATGGCCCATATCACATAGACACTGCATAATACCAAGACTCCAACTCTTGACATTCTTGATATCAAGCCTGGTTTCAATGCAACACCATTTATAGTTTCCATAAGTTTTGATTCCTCACCTGTCGGCAAAAACTTAGCCACTGAACTATTCTTTGAAATCACAGTACCACCATTCTCCATTTCTCTAGCCAAATCTTTTGCAAAAGATATCTTGAAATTAACTTCATCCATTTCCTCACTTTCATTATCCAACTGTGGATCAACTCGACTTCTCCTTAAAATTTCCTCCTCATCCACAACCACCCTTTCCACCGTACCCCCAGAATCCTGATAAACAATAAATATAGGGCGTGTTCCAATCCCCCAAAACTCCAAATCTTTCTTATACTGCTCAACCCAACTCTCTAGCTTATTCCACATCATAGATTCCCCAAATTTCTTATTCCCTGGTTCGACTACTAAATTTCCAGTATCATCAGAATAACGCAAATTACCACCAACATTCATTTCATTGAGACTCTCCTTTCCTTCAACGGAGTTAACAAACTCGGAGTCAAAAAAATCTACTTTATCCAAATTACGAGGAGTCTGGTTGCCGCTCGCCTGCTGGAATTGTTGCTGTTGTTGAGTAAGCTTTTTCCTGAGATAATTTTGCCGCTTCGTCGGTCGACCACAATGAGCTATAATTAGGGATCTTTTGGCCGAAATAGGGGGAAACGGAAACGAGCGACGCAGGGGAAGTTTTCGAGGGTTGGATAAGGACATACCTGAAAAGATTTTCGAGCGTCGTCTCCATTCGAGGAAGGGAAATGCAGGAGAAAATTGAGGATGGGTTGAGAGTGGAGAACATATAAACTCCATGAATGAGAAAAGATAACCCAGAGCAAATCCGGCATTGGAAAAGAGGGTTTAAACGAAGGGTTTTTAAGCAGTTGCACCAGGAAAGTGCAGCCACTTCAAATTACGAAACTACCCTGAACTTAATACGGCGTCGTATTTGCAAAACTTATTTGTCTCCGACGTCGTATTGCACCTCCCAAGAAATGTTCTTAGATGAGGACAAGGATGTCATTTTAGGAAAACCGCTGTATATAACTGTCCGGTGGAGAAAGTCGCATTTGCTGAAATTTTTGTGTGTTAGTCGTCCCTGCAGTTACGAAGGCTGTTAGGTGCGGTTGCAGGCGGAGCTGCGGTGGCTTGTTGCGGTAGAGGGTAAGTTGGAGGGATGGGCGAAGTGGAAGAGGAGGTGGTGGGAGAGTCTCCGGTTGAGGCGGCGAGCGGCAGCGATGCAATGGCGGTTGATGGGGGAAAAGCGAGGGGCGGCGAGGGGAAGGGGGGGAGGGTTCGTGGACCGTGGTTGCCGCATGAGGATAGGGTTCTCAGCGAGCTGGTGGGGAAGTTCGGGGCGAGGAATTGGAGCCTGATTGCTCGGGGGATTCCCGGTCGGACTGGGAAGTCGTGCCGTCTACGGTGGTGCAATCAGCTCGACCCCTCGGTCGAGCGCAGGCCGTTTTCTGGTAGAGATTTTGATATTGTTTGTTGGATAAGATATTTTTTCCGCTATTATCATTGCTAGTGTTTTGTTTTGCTTGAATGTGAGTATGCACTTTTGTTTCTGGTAATTAATGACGAATGGTTTTCGATTTTGTGCCTTGTTCTAGTAGGTCTTGTGTTAATCAATACTTTAGATGAAATCATGTTTCGGGATATGCTGGAGTTGCTTCATTTTAATGATTTTTTATAGATGGTTATATCTATGGTGCATCTCTTTGTCACCTATGATGAATATAGTTTATGATTAGATGTTAAGGTGCTATGTTTGTGGCCAAGGAATTCGTGTTTTTGCGAATCTAGCTTTGTTTATTAGGTTACAAACTATTGAGCTTTGTTAAAAACTAGTTACGGTGTTAATGTGTGAGTACAATGTTTGATTTACATCGTTGAAGTATGGAATCACACTGTGATAAGAAACAACTATATATGGCGAGATCCTCTGTGTTCGTTTCCTTTGCCTTCTATTTAATATGTGAAGAACAGTCTCTTTCTTTTGCATAGCTGGGAGTACTAACATGCATGACTTCTAAAGAATTACATATGGATAACCGTAAGGCTAATGCTGAATGATTTTATATTTACATAAATATATGTGGATCGATATCTATTAGTGTGTTTGATTTTAGTAGAAATTTTGGGCAATAGCTTGCTTTGTTTATGGAGAAGCTAACAAAGAAACTGACCTGCACAATTGCTTGTTGCTTGTAAGTTTTCTGTATCTCTTATTCATCTTGCTGCATCAATATAATTTTCCTGCATTGTTCTCTGATCATTGCTTGTCGCTTGCATGTACGGGAACCGTACAAACATTTCAGTTCTTAATCGAACCTAGCGTTGGATATACTTTTTGAAGAGATTAGTAAGAAGTTCCTGAGATATTCTTACAAACTTATGAAAATTGTTGGCCTCAATAGTAACATTCTACCTTATACTAAGATGAAATAGAAGCTACCAATGGAATGAACCTCAATGTAACGGTTCCAGATTTTCTGAAATAGCTTAACAGCATAAAGATATACAATTAAAACAAATAATAAAAGTTTATCTTTTGTTGTTAAAATAACTATGATGAAGTGATGCAGCATTTTAGTCAAGCCATTTATTCTTTCTCACAATCTCATCTTTGAGCCTCTTCACTATAGGATCCTATCTTCTACAATAGATTGGCATATTTAATTATTTATAACTTAAGACTGGCACACATATTTCTATTTTCAATTTATGAATAGCTGTGCTACACTTTCTTATGGTGCGCGTCGCACCATGGCCCAAAAGACCTATGCGCCTTGCCATGCCATTCATTATTGGCAACTATGTCGGGCCCCATGTAGTTTGATGAGTCTTAAATGATGATTGTTATTAATATATAATGTGTTCAATCAGTAATATTGTTGTTTTCACTATACTTGTCTGGTTTTCAATCCATTTTCTTGTCTCTTCTCATCACATCGTTGACACAATATGCTTCTTGCACAATGGAGCATGAAAATTTACACTTCTGTTTTACAAAATTGATGTTGATGATATGGATATCTTCCCAATCTCTTGAAAAAGATGGCAGTATGGGGCTGAAGGTTGTTGCTGGTTCTGAGATTGCTACAGCAATTATATCTATATTTATCTTGAATTACTGGATCACTTTGTAGGCTATAGTTTCCTCTCCCGTTAGTGGTTGCACAATTCTAATCAAGTTTTAGTTGTGCTGCATTTTCATTTTATTATTAGGGAGAGGTCTGTGAATTTAACCCATTTGTCATCCATTGTTTAATTTCTCCTTTTTGGGCTGCTAGCTTATAATGCTTTTAGATTCAAGTTACTGGTCTTCTTTTTGGTTTGTCAAATTACTATTATTTATAGTATCTGGTTCTTACTTTGCAGAGGAAGAAGATCGTTTAATCATAGAAGCGCACGCAGTTCATGGAAATAAATGGGCAGTTATCGCAAGACTTCTCTCAGGGAGAACAGATAATGCAATCAAAAACCACTGGAATTCTTCGTTAAAGCGAAGGTCTGGGAATCACAGGAGATCAGTACCAGCAGCTGGCCTCGTGTTGCCTAATGCCACCACTGTATTGGACAAAACATTCTCGGATGAAACCTCATCAGGCGGAAATTTGAGTTCCTCGAAATATTCAGATGATCTGGTAATAAAATACGTAACGATTCAACCAAGCGAACATGACAAAGCCCAAACTACTTTAGGATGTGATTCGCTCAAACCAAGTGCACCTAATCTATCTGGTGGAAATATGAAATTGAGTTCTGCAGATAGGGGAGATGTGAGACCGGTGGAAGATCAGCTAAAGAGTTTCGAAGACAACACTCGAACTTCTGTAAGCAATTGTCTTCCAGAGCGAAATCCACTCGCATCTGAAAACAATTACACCTCTGCCAACCAGAGCCAGCCTGGGGTTTCTCAGCCTGTCACAAAAGTCGGGGCTTTCAGTGTGTATAATCCTCCCAGACACGACTCTCCATTTCCGGGAACTTTGCCGGTGCAAGGGTCTCTGCTTCAGCCATCCAAGCTGAGTTTTGACATTTGCAGATTCGTTGGTGACGACCCTGTGGTTCCAACCCAATGTGGCTATGGCTGCTGTGCAGCCTCCAGTCGACATTCTTATCCCAACTCATTGTTGGGAGCAGAATTTGTCGAATATGAAGAACCCCCGACTTTCTCAAGCCAAGAGATGCTGCATGTGGCTGCAGATTTGAAAAATATTGCCTGGATTAGAAGTGGTCTCAAGAGTACCAGGAGTGTTTCCGGTGGCGGGAATGACCAGCGAATTTCTGGTGGCATATCCGAATGTAAGAATGTGGAAGGAAGCCCCAAAAGTGACCATTTACCATGTGAAGGAAGAAACCAAATTCTCAAGACGACAAGAGAAGTGGCAACAACAACGGCACATACGTTGCGCGCTCAGGTAGAAGGCTTTAGCTGATTTCTTTACTCTGAGCACGCTAGAAATGCATTAGCTTTTCCATGGAATGTTGAAGTTTTGCTCTGAATTGGTGATTGTCGATGTATACAATGTTTGCAAAATGAATCTTGCGACTCAGGCACGATCGGAAGGCATCGGGAGTTTCAACTTATGATCGTTCACGAGTTATCTCTCATACTATCAGCCGATGAGTATTCTATTTTAACTGGGCGTGATAAGTATTCTATCTTATATTCATTTGTCATTGTTCTTGTTATATTTGTTCCAAGTATTTCAATTTTTTTTACCTCTTGTGTAAAACCGCCATGGCCAAAGGATACCAGGGGTTCCGAGATGACCATATATATATATTTTTTATTTTTTTTTGTGCTGAAGATGACTTTTTATATTTATAATAAATTTATCAAATCTTAAATATATTTCATAAAATTTATAACTTTGGATTCGTTCAAAAAAATTTGTTTTTTTTTAATTATAAATATTTTTATTTATCTTTAAAACTTTCAGTTTTTTTATAAAATTAATTTATGGTAATTTATGGTAATGATAAATAAATATATATATTTATATTTATTTGTATCGTATAAAATTTTATTCTCTACGAAATAATAATCATATTATATATGTTTTATTGAGATAAAATATTAAAAATATTTAAAATACTAACAACAGAATTTATATAAAAATATAATAAAATAATATCATAATTTATTATTAATAAGTCATTAATGTGCGCTATCTAAAATATGTGTTTCTAAACAAAAAGATGATCCTGCACCGAGGGAGTATCATTGAATAATATTCCCACCGTCCCATGTAATTTGGGTCTTCTATTATTGTAAATCAAGAATTGGGATAAAATATAATTAGTATGTAATGAAATTAGTATGTAACGAAGAAGTGTATTAGTAAAAATAATAATTATTATTATTTAGTAACAATAATTATAGATTAAATAGTTTTATAAAGATTAAAAAAATTATTGTTGGCTATCAAATCCTAACAAAATAAAGTAAAATTCAAATTAAGAAATGCTTCGAATTTGATGGGATGGTTTGATATTACATATGAATCCCTAAACACCGACATTACCTAAAACGCAAATCGAAATGTACACAAAGAGCAAGAAATTAAAAGTCTCAACAGAGGCCTTTTTCTTTTTATTTTCCTTTAGGTGTGCTTCCCTTTTATCCTTTCATTTGCCACCTTTTCGGACAAATGGATTCGGTTCTAAATCTGGCCAGGTAACCGCCTGACTGTTACCTTTTAAAAAAACTTATAATAACCAAAATCGGTTATCATCAAAGGATGCACCCACTCAGTTTTTGGATAGTCTATCCTTCGCCCGGGGCGGTTTTAATCCTGCAACCATTCGGCGCAACTCATCATGCACAACTTTTCTGGTCATTGGACCCTTTTGTTGATTCGGCCGAAACCAAGTCCCACAACTCAACTATACTGGCCCACCTTGATCCAATGGGCCCCATAAAGCGAAGCCCTAGACCATTTTCTGAACTCAACAACTTGCCTCTCTTTCAGAGAATATCAAGAGTCACATCTCGAAAGAGATGACTGTTGACATGACGTCTGCCGTACTTTGCCCTAGGTCTGTACCATCATCATCACAAAAAGGAGGAGAGAAATAAAATCTCTTCACTGCTATTACCCTCTTTTTCACTGCTATTACTTTTCTCTTCACTGCTACCAAACACCTCCAGCGAAATCAAAACTTCGCTGTACTCAGCCTAGATCATTTGCGTGCACCTCTATGGAGAGCAACACCGTTGTCATCCCGTTTGACGGATTTGCGCCGGCGCTGGCCATGAACCCCTTTTCCAATGTTACTCCGGTAGTGTGCCCTTTTGTCTCTACCATCGCCGAGGGGTCCCCAACACTGAATTTCTTGCAGCATAATCGTCGTCTTGCCATACACAACGGAGCTTTTAATGCCGCTCGCCTCTGGGATGACATCAAAACCAACCTTCTAGATCTCAAGGACGAGTTTCGGACTTGGTACGAAAGGGTAAAGAAAAGTTTTGGGAAGCAATGGAAGCAGCAGGGGTTGGACAAGGCCATTTTGTTGTCATGTCAAAACTTCAATATCAATTAAACATTCATTCTAGCCATGGCCGCTTTCTGGGACCACGAAGGTTAGTGCATTTCTGCTGCCCACCGGACCAATTGGCCCGACTTTGATGGACGTTTTAACGATCGCCCACCTTCCGATTGTTGGGGAAGACCCAGTGGTCGGGACTCTGACTGGTCATGAACCAATAACCAAAAACCGTGGATGGGGAATAAAGATGCCACCGCACAAGATACCCCAATGACCGACGAGGAGCACGTTGTCTTTTTACTGTATTGGGTCTGCAGGTATGTAGCTATTTTCCGAATTTGTTCTTGATTCTTACTGCACAATATTCTTACGCGTCCATGTCCCAATCATGACAGATATGTGATATGCCCTTCTTCTAAATCCATCACCTATACCCACACAGACATTACCATTCACCTGGCTCAGGGCCAATTCTTATCGATCGGCACCCTATTTCTCTCTAGTCTTTACGAGGGCCTTTCTAAAGTCTGCACTAAACTATCTAGCTCTACCAAACTTGACACCATTTTTTTCAGGTCCGGTCTGCTTTCTGGAACTTTGGTTCCGTCTATACTTTCATCCCATCTTCTTCGGTCAGCCACCACTTCTTTTAGATTCGGACATATCATTCGGTCAGTATGTCCTATTCCTTTGTTCTGACTGTAAACACCACAAAAACCCTGAAATCCTTCTTAAAGCTATATTGGAGTATGATATGACCGACTCAAACTATTATCCCTACTTCCATCTGACCACTTTTGCCACACCGCCCTTCTACATCCCCCGTCCATACCTTTTCCGTACGAGCCACCCGTTGAATCCCCGCACCCTACTCTCAAATACTCCTGGGAAGTGCCGTTAAGACCGTGTTCTCTCTTTGCTAGAAAAAAACTTGAGAAAATGAAGAAAACATATTCCGCCTTCCCCTACTACCCGCACTAATTGGCGCGTTAATTCGGTTGTCGCCAAGGGATTCCAGCCTTGACCTTCACTACTCACCTTGTCCGAACCCATACACAAAACATTGTAGCCGAATACGCCATCAAGCCCTACACTGATAAGCTTATTAAGTATCTGATCAACCATATCTATACTCATTTCCACGACTGCCCAGACGTCATTCCGGCCTTTCGAGAATGGTGGACATAAATGGCTTGGCCAGTAGTTGGGAAGCCAATCGATGACTGCATGAAAATTCTTTTTCCTCCAGTCACCAATTCTGGGTCCCAGCTGGCCCTACTACCGCAACCTTTGACGGGGCAGGTTGCTCTTGGACCCCCGCGACCGAAACGACAGCGAGGGGTGAAAGCCAGCGGGGCTAGCTCCTCCCGCAAGAAAACCAAGGCCTCTGCGGCGGACAAGCCGGCGAAGTCAGAATAGCAGTGCAAAGAGAGGGAAGACTACTTAGCCTCCCTCCAAGTAGACATGACACTCTTCCCCGAATTCCGATCACTCGCCGTCCAACGAGCCCTAGTAGGTATTCATGCTTTGGAGAAACTTTAATCTTGCTTATATATATACGTCTAACCTCGTTCGTATGTCAGCTGCAACTGGGCCAACCACCAATCCAGCCATCACACCGACAAACCCAACTCACTTGTCTACCGCCGCACCAATAACTGAGCAAAATCTAGAAGCACAGATCGGAAGATAACCGCCATCCACCAACATTCCAGCTCCTGAACACTTACCTGCCGAGAACAGAGGCCAAGTTACACCCGATTTCAGACGATAAGTCACGTACGGTGAGTTATTATATTTAGGATATTCTAAAACAACCATGTTTTTTTACTTGTCTGAACTTTCTAGGAGTCGGCCTTGTCTGCAGCCATGGTTCGCCGGATCGGCCGATTCGGGTCCGACTCGGCCGATCCGGAACCGGAATGGGCAGGACCGTTCCGGTACTGAAAAAAAATCCGATTTTCTTCCAAATCTTCATGAAATCACTCAATTTTTTTTATTTTGGAGATGCTTTTGTCAATCATTCTCCTTCCATTACTTCAATTTAATACGTAGAACTTGTGAAGTACTTCAATTTCATATTTGGAATTTGAAACTTGGAAAGGAGAAGATGTGAGTTTAGGATAAATTTAGGGAAGATATTGTTCGGTAAGATGAAGAAGTAGTGGAAGGTGCGGCTGCGTTGTGAATAAAGAAGGTTGCTGAAGAAGAAGAGGATTGGAGAGGAAGATCGAGCAGTGTTGTCGGTTGGGGAAAAGGATAGTGCAGGTTGGGAAGAAGAACGAGTAGCGAATAATTGATTGAAAATATTTTGGAAAATAACCTAAATAATTATTTAAGTCCATTTAACTTAATTTTTGTAAATATAAGTATAAAATTAATTTGTTTACTTTGGATCGGAATTAGTATTAGATTATTTTAATTATTTTGTTTATTTAATTTTTAAATTTAATTGTTTTGATTTGTCTTTAATTTTTACTTAATTTATCCAAATTGATTTTCATTAAAATTGATATTTTAGAATAACTTATAACTAATTGTAAAATTATTTTTTAGATCAAATTATATATATAATTTTTAAAATTAATTATATTTATGTTTTAATATATTTAATCGTGTATATTATCATTTTTTAAAATAAAAAATTTTATATAAAAATAATGTTGACCGATATTTGACCGATACACCGCGCCGATATGCCGCGACGTATCTGGAACGGTGAAAGCTGATCCGCGACAACGATCCGCGACGGCAAACCATGTCTGCAGCAGAAGAGCGTTCTGCTAGGCCGACTGGAAGAACTCCTTTTCAATCACGAACGAGGGAAGAAACAAAAATTCCTTCCCCTGTGGATTCAACGCGTACACTAACTGCCCCAGAATGACCCCAAAATCAGCCTGATCCATCCGCGTTTTTGGGCCCTTCGGCTCAAACAGCAGCCCCAGACCAGGTCACCAAATTTGCATTTCTGTTATTACCAGCATATTTGTATCATATTTAGTCCCACTTTTTCTATTGTGCAGGCCCCAGGTTTTTTGAACTCTCTTTCTGTCGTTGTTCTCTCTACTAACAAC